CCGCGCCCAGACCCCCCCAGCCACGCTCACGTAGCCAGATCCAGCCCGGGGCTGGCTGAGGCAGTGGGGAAGCCCTGAGACAATATCTCAGTGTAGATTAAGCTGATTTTTGTAATTTGGGGCTGGAGGGGTGCAGGGCTGCATGTCCCGGGGTCCCCCAGCTGCTGTTAGCAGGGGGAGAGCCGGTGGCACGGGGACAGCCAGGCTCAGCACCAACCCAGCGCCCCTTTTGCCATCGATGCAGAATTGACAGAGCAGCACGAAGCCATGGAGGAGCAGAAAAAGAGGGAAAAGACTGAAAAATACAGGGAAGAGGGACGGTGAACAAAGCTGCAGAAGGAGAAGGGACATCCCTGGGACTTCACTCCTTGGTCCTCGGCGTCCCCAGAGCCTCCTGCTGTGCCCGGTGCCACAGAGCAAGGACAGCACAGTGCTCAGCGGGACACACAAGCGCACAGAACAGCAGTTAGAGGGAGGGTTTGGTGTCTGCCTAACGCACCAGTATCACCACCAGTAACTCCCAGTTAGCGCTGGGGTGGTGGAGAAGGGCTGGGCTGGGAGGAGGAGGATGGATGGAGGCACCAGTCACGACGCTGGGACTCCTTACCCTTTGCGAATGACGACGATGATGGCTCCCAGGAGGATAATCAGGACGATGAGCCCTCCGGCACAGATCCCCAGGATCAGGCCCATCTCCTCCGAGTGCTGCGACACCTCCAAGGGACGCTTGCTCTCTTTGCAGGCAGCTGCCAGGGGACAAGGACAGGCAGGAGGGGTCAACGCTCAGCTCCGGCAGGAGTTTGGCAACATCAGATGGAAAAACCCTGGGATTCATCCCACGGGATGCACATTGCTCCTTGAACACATTTTATTCCACCGAGATGTTACGGTGCGCTGTAATGCCGCGCCGGCATCGTGGGCCAGTCCCTGCCTTGGTTCCCGTGGGGTGACATGGTCCCTTTGTGCCACCTTTCATCATGCCCAGCATTAAGCTTGTCCATCCCCAGATCCAGCACCACTCTGGCCTCCCACCGCCATAACGGCATCAAGAGGAAAAACCCAGCCAAGGTAAAAAACTCAGGCATCGAAGAAAGCAGGAAACAAAGAGCGTGAGATGGGACTGTAACAAACCACCACGCGGACACTGACTGGTGCTGGTAACGGCACCCACCAGCACGGCCCCGACCATGGGATCATGCTGGCTGGAAAAGGGAGTGCTCACCTTTGCGGGCAATCCGGACGCAGTTCAGCCGTGTTTCCTACAGAGGAAAAAGAAAGGGGGGAATCAGCATCGGATGAGCACTTCGGCAGCTCCACTCCGAGCGAGGCTGGAGGACGCAAGGCTGGTCCCTTGGTGCTTTGACCCCCCCAAAGCGAGGGAGTTTGCGGGTGACTTGTGCTGCAGGACCCGGTGCTGAGCCAGTGGAGCTCCTGGGGGGACACACACTGCTCAACGATCCGTCCCCGGCGTCCCCTAAAGCAGCGTCCCCCCCTTGAGCTGAGGCCATCGCTCCCGGCACACCGGGGCTGGCACAGCTCAGGAGCATCGGAGGAGGGACCCGGCAGACCCAGCCGAGCCGCAGCTCACCTGACTGCAGCTAAAACGCTCCCAGGTCATCGCTCCGGGTATTTTCATTTTCATCAGTCAAAGTTTTCAAGCCCCATCCCCGGCGCTCTGCGCACGCAGCCAACGCCACCGCGAGGGCTTTCAGGTCAGGTCTCCCAACAGTTTTTTGCATTTGCATTTTTGAGGGATGGGTTCAGTTTAAAATATTCCATCTTTCCGTATATCCAACTTCTGTTGCAAAATAAAAAGCACCGTTTCGGCAGGACCATGGTCTTCCTCGTGCATCCTCCGGCCCCTCAGGACACCCGTGCTGGCAACGCAGCTCCATCCAGCCTCGCACCGAGACCGGCCCACGCAGCGTGTCCGGGGCAGGGCCGGCTCCAGCACAGCTCCCCGCGAGGTCACCAGCTCTTGCTTCTCCTGCTTCTTGCTCCATCCAGCATGAAAACCACAAAAAAAAAAAATCCAAGCAGGGATACAGATTTTTCCACAACGTCTGATGGCAGCTGGGACAAATCCATTGCCTCCCAGCAGGAAAGATACAAACCAGCGTCAGCCACCCGTTATTATCCAGCAGAGCCAGCGCCAGGATCCTCCTCGTCCATCTCAGCCCTAATTACAACCCAGCGAGGTGTAAATGATCCCAGAGTGGAGGAAAAGATTAAAAAAACGGCATCTTTCCACAAGACCGGAGCTGTGTGGGATGAGGACGCTGCTGCGGTCATGCTGCTTCGCTTTCACAGCTCTTCCTGCTCCGGGGTGGGACGGGAGCTGCTGGAGCAGGTGACACCAAGAAGGGTCCCCACAGGGAATCTGACGGTGAGGGGATGAGGGCGCTGGTGCTGGAGAAGGAGCCGGAGCAGGCAGGGCCGAGGCCAGAAACTCGGCAGTTTCCCAGGAGCTCTCGCTGGCAGCAAGTCCCAGTAATGCATGCGCCGCTCTTGCTGCTCAAATGGTCCTTTTCCACCCCAGGATCAGCCCTGGGAAGGTGGCGTGTCCAGCACCGGCACTGGTTGGGGTCCCAGTTAGGACTGTAGTGGGTGGCAGAGGGTGGCCACCAGCACTGGGAGCAGGACAGGGACAGCCCCGGGGTGCTGGGAGGAAGGGGGACACCCATCTGTGATCCCACTGTGGTGCGAGGGTGGTCCGGAGCACCAGCTGCCCCCAGGCAGGACACTGGGGGTGAGCCCCGAGTGGGCATCCATGGGAGGGGGATCTAAACCAAGTCCCATTTTTCCTCACCACCCCTCCACAGGACCCCAGACACTGGATGGAGAGGGAGGTCCCACAGCTACTCACCCCTTTGAGGTTGCTCATGGCTTGGAAGTAGATGAGATATGCCTTCTTGGGCTCCAGGGGTGGGTTCCAGTAGCCGCTGTAGGTCTGGTTGTCCCCCACGGTGAAGGGGTTGGCTTTCGTGGGG